TGTTTATATGTCGAGTAACGCCAAATGATTTATGAAAAGAATTTCGAAAAATTTTCCTTGACTCTTTGAAAAGCTTTTGACTTTTTTCAAATAAAAGTGGGGCATTACAGTATGGTATCAGAGCCAGTCTGCGTTTCTGTAGACTGGTTAACGTGGTTTATGTGCATTTATGAATATTTAAGTATAAGCATCGACCACTCGTCTTCGTCATGCCGCGCCGCTTAAGGTATGTAAGTCATAAGTAATACTGATATTATTTATGAAATGATTGTTTATTATTTATGTGCTATAATTCGGGGCTTAGGACCTATCCACCTTGACTTAATCGAACTCTAGCGTTTATTGGCGAACTCTAGACTTCAATAATTATTGATCATTTTGTTTGTTTTTGTGCTAAACCTTGTTCGGCTTATTCAATGTAGAAGTATGAATGCTCGCAACAACCGTAACCGTTAGGCATCCCCGCAACCTTCTCCGCCCCGTCAGCACCAGGCCCCTCCGGCCATGGATCTTACTCAGTTTATCGTCCAGTTTCAGAGAATGAATGCACCAACTTTTGCGGGGACTGAGAACCCCACAGCGGTGCTGGAATGGATCAAAGAACTGGATAAGATCTTCGCTGTACTTCCCCTCCCTGACCGTCAGCGGGTATCCCTTGCAGCTTACCAGATGAAGGAGGATGCTTCCGACTGGTGGATTGAACACTGGGCTCGGAGGCCAGAGGCAGAGCTCCATGCACTTTCTTGGGAACAAATGAAGATGATGGTGCGTAGCAAGTTCCTTCCCCAGAGCTTTTGGGACAGAATGGAGCATGAGTTTTACCACTTGCAGCAGGGCAGCTCCACGGCAGATGAGTATATCCGCACCTTCACCCGCATGTGCCTTTTTGCGGGCGACGCAGTGAACACCGATGCCAAGAAGGCCCGTAAGTTTCTCAAGGGGCTCAACCAGAGGATCCGTGAACTGGTGGGAAGTCACGGACTGATGTCTTATGCAGATACCGTGAGTCGGGCTCAGGAGGTCGAGAGCTGTCTCATTCCGTTAGCTCTAGTTTCTTCTTATTATCATGCTTTCCAGCCATCTCAGACCGTTGTCCAGCACGCTCAGCCCATCTCATCTGTACAGCCCGGTTCTAGTTCGGGCAAGAGGAAGGCAGATTCCCATCGGGATAACCGAAAGGAAAAGCGTGGAGCACCAGATCGCCGCGATCCCCACCCCATAGTCCAGGCTCAACACCCGAAGTGCACCAATTGTGGCCGTCGCCACCCCGGGCAATGTCGCTATCAGCAGAAGGTTTGTTTTACTTGTTTGCGCCCCGGTCATTTCCGCAATGAGTGTCCCGAGGCTCGACCGCAGCAACAACAGCCGCAACAGCAGCAGCTGCCATGACTGCCTCAGCAGTAGTGAGGCTAACCATGGACTCGTGAAGTCGTATCAACCTTATTTTTATTTTCTTAGTTTTGCTTTTCTTGGAAACTTTGCAAGCCTTATTTTATTTCCTTTCGCTTGGCATACTATTTGAAATTGCGTTTCAGACTCCGCTATGTTCAATTTCAGTACTTTGGAATCTTCTGTTGCTTTCTCTTCCGTTGTATGTGATGGGATTTCAGATGGAGTTAAATATTTTAATTCTTTTATGATCCTTATCTATTCTCGTAAATTGAGAACCTTGTGTTGTGATGCCCCTAATTCAGTATGAATTAGAAGTCGAGAAGTGTTGTTCCACTTTAAAAGATTTTGAGAATCTTTTTAAGGAGGGTAGCCGTGCCTGGTGCAGGCACATCGTGAAGTACGTGGCCGTATTCGCTTTTGATATTCGAAATCGTTGAAGCTCATTTAGGACTGCCGGCACGGTTCGCTACTTGAGCAAGAGCTGACGTGACGGGCGACACTGTTTGTCGGAAGAGTCAAATGAGCTAAGTGTTTCATTATTTGGTAGTGAACGCTATGTTTGGGATTATTCCCAGCTGAGGAACCGATCCTCGTTTCTTTGGGTAGTTTTACCCGACCTCTATTATTGTTTATTCGACGGAGACTGTGTTGATCA